CGCAGGAAGCTTGGCTTGCTCCATCACTGGAGAAACCAAGCCTCCTGCTTGCTCCAGCTCTGTGGCTGCTGGCCACTATCTTGGTTGGGTTAATTTGCATATAGTCGCTCTGATTGGATCGTGGACATGGCTTAAGGCATAGGGACAATGTGGTCAATTTGCATGTTTGTCTTTTATTAGTGTAGATAAACTAACCCAAACTCAGATTAGGTTACTTTTATACTATCCCAAGGAATGTATATATCCAACTAGTACACTTGGAAGAGCAAATTATTGGATAATTACCACTAACAATTAGAATTAATGAAGGTGAATGTTCTTGCCTTCTGTGCTGATATTGAACAACCATAGGTCCTGAGAGAGACAATGGCTAATGTGTGAATGGTGTGTTTGTGGTAAGAGAGCCTGATGTTATGATAGAACAAAGTAAATATATTTTCATAAGTAAACATTCTCTCACCTTATATTTTAATATTTAAATTTTATTTTAAAATGATTGACCTAAGGTTCATATAAATAGAAAAAAATAACCAAGACCACATATTTGTCATCATTATTCCATTACAGTTTGAAGCCTTAAAAAGGACACTCTGTATGAGGTTATTTAAAAAATAAATATTGCAGTACAGATTTAGCAATTTGTCTCCTATACCAACCAAGGTATTTCTTATCTTGATAAGACAGGCACTTGGCCATGCTTGCCCATGTTTCAAAGGGAATATTACAATTCTGAGAAAAATACATGCAGCTCTGGCTGGTGTGGCTTTTTTGTTGGGGCATAGTTTTGTGCACCAAAAGGTTGCGGGTTCGATTCACGATCAGGGCATGTACCTGGGTTGTGGATTTGATCCATAGTAGGAGTGGGTGTGGAAGGCAACTGATCCATGTTTCTCTTTCCTCTATCTCTTTCTCTCTCCCTCTCCTTCTCTCCCCTCTCTAAAATCAGTAAAACATATCCTTGGGCAAGGATCTATATTCTGGTATATAAAAGGCTAATATGCTAAGCGTCCCTCCAGGTAATGATGTTACTTAGCAATGCCCTGCTTCCTCTCCCTAGCGACTAGCCTCCTTTCAGTTTCTTCAGCCCAGGAACATGACTTGCTTTATAGCCAGGTGGAAATACTTTACACTTTAACCAGATGTTTGTGAAGCATTTTCCTATGCCTCATCTCATTTCATCCTCACAGAAGTCCTGGAGTAGGTAGATAGGAGACTCAGTAGAATCCTATTTTCTTTTCATTAGCCAGAACATGGAGATTTAGAAAGTTTAGAAACTTGACCCGACTGAAAAGAAGTAAGAAATGGTGGACCTTGAAAATGACTTAAGGTTTTCTCACTGTGCAGAATATAGTCAAACACTGCTGCAGTTAAATAATTTACCCTTTGTTCTCCATGTGTGATCTACAATAATAATCTGCTTGATGTTGATATTTACTGCTGTGTTGCTGATATTTACCTAAAAGAGAAGTTGTGGGGCTTCACTTGGCTGGAAAAAGTTTAGCTACATCAGAAAGCTGGTCTAATTAAGCAAGTTTATTCCATATCTATAAAAGGTTAAGTTGGCTCGCTTATGTGTTATACATATAAAGCTTTTGCTGGCGCCACTCGCACGCGTGTGTTTCGATCTGTCATTGTCTATTGTGAATTTGGTTGACACTTCTATTATAGAGAAAGGGCAAATAGCGATATTAAAACATTTCTTCTAATTAATTTCCTTTCAATGTGCACGAATCCATGCACTGGTCCAATAGTTAATACAATAAAATAAAATAAAAATAAAAAGTACATGCATATTCTGTCTACAACTCTTTATGATTTTGACAAAGATACCAAGATATTTATTTAACTGAAATATTATGCTCTATCTTTTTAAAATATAACCATTGATTCTACTAAATTTCTTAACAGAAATAAAAGTAATGGACCTGATTCTGAATGAATAGTTATCAATTAAAAAGTTTTTGAAAGTTAAGCATGTATAAGTATTCATGTCAGCAGCTGAAGTTTTCAGTCATCCATAAAATTGACATATGAGCACAATGCTCTTTTTTTTATTTTTACGTTTTACTTTCTAGTGTTGGCCATGTGCATTTAAAAAAATGTAATATACTTGTACAATTGGCTGTCCTGAAAAATTAGGTGGGTTTTTGTTGTTTTGCGTGTGTGTGTGTGTGTTTCATCACAAAATTCATAAAATATAGATTAATTTCCTTTCCCTTCAGAAGATGTACCTTCATTTTCCCTAACTTTTAGGATTTTAGGATTTAGGAATTCAAGTAATTTGTGTGAAAAAAGTAAATCTTAGTTTTCTTATTAGTTGGAATATCCAGCACCCTCTGAAAATGATACACTTCGTGAACATGTTACACTGTAATCCCAGGTAGAGACCTCTCCTTAGGAAAGAGAGCTTCCCATTGATTCCAATGTAGCCACAAGCCTTACTTAAGACAGATTGCCCTTGATGTTTTTGGTGCTTTTTGTTCTTATAGCTTGTCCTTGAATTGTGTCATTTCAGCCTTGTGGTGCTTTAAAGTGTTTGATGACTCAACCTAATAATGCCAAGGTTTACATATTTTACCTACCTGGGATAAGGTAATCCTAGAAATTCTAAACGAAATAATTGTGACCACTTGAACTTTCAACATCATGCCTCGTGTGACTGTTTCTTTTGAGCCTTGAGAGTAATATTTCTTTGAAGTTTTTCATGTCATTGGCCTGTAAACAGTTGTTTAAAATCTGTAGCACAAAAGAGATTCAATATGGACTGATTGACTAAATGCAATTTTTTTTGGTCTAAGTCACTAAAACAGTAAGATGAAATTCCTCTGTAGTTAGCTAAATATCCTCCACAGCCTTTTTATAAACCTGTTTGTGAAGAATACTCATTTATTTGAAAGAGTAATCCTTAAAGCGAAAAACCCCGAATCAGTATGAACATCAGTAGACAAATCCATCATCTAAGGATTATAGAATTAAAGCATCCAACAGAATGAGAAAACTTGATACTTTATGCCATATTTATCCTTTGTTTTTCAGTAAATCCTTGATTTCATTCGCAGCTTAGTCTAGTATGAGAGTTATATTAAGAAAAACACTTAGATTCTCATCATAGATTTTTTAATCTTATACTTTAAAGATTTTTATGATTCTAAATGTAGCATCTCTTCAAAGGAAATATAATATGTAAGCTTACAAATAAACTTTGTCATATTACCATGATTGCATGCTCGGATTCTGTTTATAAATCTGCATAAGAAGTTGTCAGTTATTCTTTTTTGATGGCCCATGCAAGTAAAGGAGGGTAAAATGTGTTTACTCTTTTACATTAATTTGCATCAATGATGGCTAGAAATAAATATAACTTCACAAAGAAAAGTTACTTTCCAGAATATATTTCTGTGATAAAGCGAAGAACAGAATGCTGATAACATAAGCACATATTAACTTGGATTTCTATTATTAATATTTGAATGAAAGTTGTTTTATCATGAAAAGAATCATTCATTTTACCATGATAATTTATACACTTTAAAAAATAGATTCACATTTAATTTTTCATTTTTTGTCATCTTTCTTGCTTTTAAAATGGGGGGGTCATTTTAAAATTCAGAGCGTTATTATTAGACCCCACTGGAACCTACCCCAAACTTATTTTTTAATTAGTCATGATGAATTGAGTTTATTCATTCCACTTATTTAAGAAAAAAATTTGTATTTGTTACTAAAACAATACTAATATTTTTGTTTTTTTCATTCCAGATAAGAGATACTAAATCAGCAGATCAAAAAACAACCCTCTTGCATTTTATTGCTGAAATTTGTGAAGAAAAATACCGGGATATCCTGAAATTTCCTGAAGAACTGGAACATATAGAAAGTGCAAGCAAAGGTAATTGATTTGTAACTGCATTGAGACTACTCCTTGTTAAGTATTATATTTTAAATGATAGGATTAAATAATCTATAAACATTAATCTTTTTATTCTGTTACTTTACTGATATAAGAATAACAGGAAGACAGTTTCTGTTAGCTTACATTTGACAGCATAGTGTGTTTTAATGGCCTGCTTTTGACTTACTTTATTTTGTAACACTGCTAGATTATTGAGGCTTTAATATCTGTTCAGATAGTATGTTCATTCATACCTACATTTCTTAAACACTGGAGTGTATATTGTTTGCAAAGGCGCTATACTATGGGGTATTTGGTGATAGCAAAATGATTGTGAGACATTTCTTGCTTGAGTGTGTTTAAAATCTAGAAGGTAAGAAAAGACATACATACAAATACTTGATAAAACAAGGATGAATATGAGAAGTGCTACATGAAAAGATAATGTACTGTAGTTTAGATGAGAAAGTCATTCTGATAAGAAACGTAGATAAGAAAAGGCTTTCATGGAAGAGGCCAAAGGGTGAAACTTGAGGAGAGGACTTTTACAGACATGAAAAAGGCATGCTTTCTATAGAGCAAACAATATTAGCAAGGCCCAGTGGCAGAATGTGTTAGGACAGGTGAAAGAGTGGTTGACTGTAAGGTGGGAGCATTGAGGTGGCCATCTCAGAGATTTCAATGTCTTTTTGAGCAGTCTGGTCTCAGTGTGGTAGTCAGCAGGTTCATCATTGAAGGACTAGAATCGGTAGGATGTGGCACCAGGGAGGAACAGGAGTGGGAGACAAAAATGTTTCTAAGATTGTTATTTAAGTTAATTAGCTTTGATGGTTAGTATTGTCTACTCCAGTAAGAAGTTGAAAAATGAAAGAAAAGAGGAATAAGGAAACTTTTTTTTTTTTAATTCTCACCCGAGGATATTTTTCCACTGATCTTTAGGGAGAGTGGAAGAGAGAGGGAAAGACAGAGTGAAATATTAAT